ACACCGACATCAGTTCATGCATATTCCCAGGTGTTTCTATTTACCTTAGTATTCTTCAGAAATTTTAGTCACATCAAACTCTGTTGACTTATTTTTCCATTAGAAATGTGAGAAAGCACCTGTTAGCCATCTCCGCTTCAAATGCATTAGCGAACTTTTCCGATGTGTCCATTTAATAGGTGAAAATGGTACCCCATAGTTTTAATTTATGATATTTATATTACATGTGAGGTTGAATAGCTTTTTATGTATGCTTAGGAACCATTTGGATTTCCTTTTCTGTTAAATGACCTTTTCCCACTTTATATCTATCTTTTTCTTATCAATTTATAAGAACTCTTAGCCTTCTGTCTGTATTACAAATTGCAAATATTTTTCTCAGTTCCTGCATTATTACTGTGCTATTTTTATTGACCGTTTCTTTCCTTTATATATGTTTTATTGTCCTCAACCAAATTGTACGTTCCTTCCATGAAAGAAAGAACATTTCTTTTGAATATCACCAGGAGTGCGCTTTTCAGATCTTCCAACCTCATACACCAGCAAAATTCAAGAGAAGGGAAACCTGCTTTTGCGGGGGTGGTCAAGTGTGAACATTAATTATCACTGGGGCACCTATGTGGGTTGTCTCTCCAATCCCATTTCACGTGGTTACAGCAAGGACAAACCAGTTCTGATAATACAACATGGTTTCTGAACAGGGGAGGCAGGGAGGGTACTGGGGGAATCTGTTTCTGTTGTCTGGGTGGGTACGGGGAAAACTCAGTAGCTGTCGGTGACATATTTCCCATTAAGAGGACTAGCAAGGGGTCCTCTCCAGCAGGAGCAGAACTGAAGCCAATGCACAGCCAGGAATCGAGAGAAGAGATAAAGTGTGTCGGGCTGTCGAGGGAGTCCCTGGTCACAGCCTCTGGACTCCCGTTAGCTACTCCCTGCATCTTTACAATACATTTCTCCTCTTGCTTATACCAGTTAGGTGGATTTCTATTACAACAGCCAAAAGGAACCTACTTACTATCACTACCATCTACTCATGTCATTTCATAAAGGGACATTTTAACACCAAAACCTCAGGAAGAAGAGAACCTCAGATTTTTGTTTTTGTTTGTTTAAAGGGGGATATTTATTGAATGGTAGCTTCGTGCCAGGAATAGGTCTAAGTTCTTGAAATGCAGTGTTAAACAGAAGACATAAAATCACTCTTTTCTCGGAGCTTACATGCTAGAGAAAACATACGGATAATAAAATAATATAAATTTCAGTTGTGATAAATGGTTTGCAGGGGAAAAATATTTTTTTTAAGGCAATGGGGTAGCAGGGAATGAGGATGGTGTCCTTCTGAAGGGTGGTTAGATAACAGTGCTCGTCTGAAAAGGTAATGTTTGAATGGAAACCTGAAATGACAAAAAGCAGCCAGTCGTGTAATGTTTTAGGAAGAGAATTCCAGGCAGAGGGAACAGTACTAAGTCAGAAACAAGCCATGGGATTTCTGAGGGACACAAACAAAGGGCAGTGTAGATGAAATATAGTGAAGGGGAGGGTGAAAGGATGGGCAGAGTGACAGCCCTAAGAGGAAAAAGTGAAAGGCAGTGAAGTAAGTAGGGGTCAGGTCTTGTGTAGAAACTAGTAGGCAGTAGAAAGGATTTTAAAGTAACTTGAGCTTTATGAAAAACTCACTATATTACCTTTAATTCTCATTTTGCCTCTCATCAGTGATAACCTGAACATGCAGGTCTTTTTTTTAAAAATTTTTTTTAAAAAAATTGATTTCAGAGAGAGGAAGGGAGAGGTAGAGAAGCAGCAATGATGAGTCATTGACTGGCTGCCTCCTGCATGTCCCCTGCTGGGGATCGGGATCCAGCCAGCAACCCAGGGCATGTGCCCTGACCGGGAATCCATCTCCTGGATCCTAGGTCGATGCTCAACGGCTGAGCCATGCAGGCCGGGAAACGGGCACGCAGGTCTTTAGAGATTACCATCCCCAAGTATTTGACACAATCCTCAGGTTAGCCAGGAATGAACATTTCCTAAGCAGAAAATAGCTCTTCTCGTGTGCTACAAACTTTTTAAAAAAGAATTTTAGGAAGGAAATCAAAGCCATCTGAAAGAAAACATGAATAACTTAGGATAACAAGGTGACAGAAGCGACTCTAAATTCTATCCTGTTTATTACACTGTGAGTGAACCTACTACGGTCAAGCCTATACAAAGGTCTCAAGGAAAAACATACAAGCCTAAGTTCTAAGCTCCGGTAGAGTAGCATCCTTTGTTAACTGAGGTCACTATTACTGAACTGGACATCGACATGGGTAAACACTGTCATGAGAAAAAGTGAAAACCAGACTTCTGACTTTAGAATAGCCAAAGCTGGATGGCCAACAAAGTTGTGGGTTTTAATCTTATCTCTATAACTGTAATAAAGGAACAGCCTCCCCTACATGGTGAAATTAAGAACAAGAGATGCTTCAACATCTCTCTTCTGAAAGCTTTTTAAAACAGGAGACAAATCGGTTTAAAGAGGTTAGGATACAGCACACCCCACAAAAGAGTGATGCCCTCTCCAGACCTTCCCAGACAGCCAATATCTGTGTACACTGAGCCGGTAATTAAACCTACACTGCTTCTAAGATTAATGTCAGAAAAGCCAGGTCTTTGAAAGCTCTAATGTATTCATGAATCTCCTCTTCCACTATGTTAGATATTTAGTTAGCCCACTTAATGGTAGACCAAAAAGTAGACTTAATAACACAATCTATAAAGGGAGGTCCTTTGTGAGTATGATACGAGCTAAAGAAATAAAAGTCATTACACACCTTGATCAAGATCTGATTCTAAGTACAACCTCCTCAACGCAGGTCCAGCAGCTTGGCAAAGCGCCCAGGGATGATTAGCAGCCGGTCTGTGTGAGAGAGGGCTATGGTCTGTCTAAACTGTAAGGTCTCCCCCCAGTGGTCACACACAAATAAACAGGGAGAGTAGGGGAATCACTGCAGCTTCTGTGAGACTGACCAAAAAATACTCTAAGCAGGACCTGGTTCCTTCCATGAAGAAATAAAACCTTTAATTCAGTACTGGGCATTATATCAGTAAGGAGATCTGTTATACACATCTGCTCTTATGATATTCATAAATGTGAAGACTATTTTTGGAAGAAAAGAAGCTACAGGTAAAACAAAGCTAGCATAAATTTTTCTCAGGATATAACTTAACAATATTCTCAAACAGCTCAGCATTTGTTTTATCTAATGGGCAGGTGTCCATCCTTCCTGAGAGAAATACCAGCACAGCTCTTGCCAGTTAACCACATCCACCTGAAGCAGAGTTCTGGTACAAATTTAGTCCCTTACCAAATAAATCATCTTGGGAAAGAAAATTATCATCAGTAGTATATACCTAATGTCTAATTTGCAAAATGCTACTTTTCAAAAACCATCTGTAACTAGGTAATGTGTAATAAAGTAAGTTACGTCAAAAGTACAAATGAGTCCCCTTGCCTGTTTTAATATTTATTTTCTTGGTGTTTTTACGATTAGATAGCCTTTGAATAGCACTGCCCCTGTATTACTTGCAACTCTCAGCAATAATTTGCTGATATGACTTTTAGCAAAGCCTGGGTGTCTAGAATGCTAAAGGGGTTTAATTAAAACATAGGTTGTCTTCTGCTCACCATCCATTATTAAGTGGTAAAGTATATAAATAAACAACTTCAATTTTTAAAAGGATTTAAAATAAGGTAACATATATAGACAGGGCCTCACAATTATGGTTTTCTTGGTTATCCCAAGCTAAAAAGAGGGAAGGGGAGGGACAGCAGCAGGCTGTGTAGTCTTCTGGAACCATTTTAGCCTGAAACAAGACTCAAAAAAAAAAAAGCAAACTGCTCCTTCAAATGTTTAAGAAAAATATGATTCATTTTTAAAAATCCAACAGTTGGCCTAGAGAACAGAAAAAAAAAAAAAAAAAAAAAAAAGATTCTGTCTTACATGGAGCTACCAGACTTGCTTAAGCACCTTAATTTTTCCACTGTCTATTTAAGCTAGAATGTAGGGGGAGAAAAATCACTTTGAAATTCTAAATGGAAAAGGAATAAAGGTGGTATCAATTAGAAAAAGACTTTTTTTTTTCATACATTTAATGTGCAATCTCTCTATAGGACAAAACGGTGCAATTAAAAATATTACCATTTGTATATTATGTAACCCCAGTCTAAAATAAACACGGACCTTAAAAAGTAACACGTCGTGCAAACATATACTTCAACATGTATTTAAATGTATGATACATTTCAGATACAAATGACCTCAAAATGACAGAACCCGTAAAAGTTCTCTGTTTACGGTAATAAGGCCTCAGAAGACAGGACTATAATCAGGCCTGATGCCTTATCATAGCCCAGTAGGCGCCCCAAACAAGCGCTAGTTCTGCGAGGTCTGGGGCTGCTATGCCTGCGCACCGCAAGGGTCTCCGCATTGCCAGCTGTGCGTTAGTTACCTCGCCTAACATATTCCATAGACATAAGTTTCCAAACGACCGTTCTGAAAGACTTCAATGGGGAGAAATGGCTGCTAAGTCACAGTCCAACTGAAGAGCCTTTGAACGCACCTCCAGTGTTCCAAGACACGCTACAGAAAGCCCAGTTCAGGAAGCAGAAAGTACAATTCCAACAATCCCCAAAGGCGCAGGAAGGAGCAAGGCACGGCCAGCTTGACCTTAAGAGGCTGCTTGCTGGTAAGGCGGAGAATCTCCTGAGCTCCCCCAGCAGCCTTCCAGTCCCCAGCCTCCCTCCCGCGAGCGATGCTCCAGCCGAGGCAAGTTTAAAGGCTGGAACCCCCGGAGCTGGTGAGACTGCGACGAAACTCCCAATAAAGTGTTAAAAAGTCCTTGTGCAAAAACCACCCA